CCCCCCCCAAAAAAACAATGTGGTGCACTGCTTTAACAGCAAATCCCATTCTTTAAGCGTTTAAGGGGGCAGCAGATGGGGAGATTGTCATCGGTGACCATCTTCTTCTCACAGCTCTGGTTTCCTTGAGTGAAGTGGATCACACACACACACACACAGAGGAGAAGAGAGACAGAGAGGCAGAGTGAGAGAGGCGGTGGGAAGATAAAGTGCTTCCACATGTGGGAGGCATGAAGAAGAAGAAGAAGAAGAAGAAGAAGAGGTACATGTGACCACCCACACAACGGGGGAATCCCAGGTGTCCTCGCCTTTTTGTTCTCGCCGTGTGTCGGACTCTCACCGTGAGAATGAGTGTGAGATATCGTTGTGTGTGTCATTAACCCGCCTCTTTGTTTTCCCCTCTTCTCTCGTGAATACAGATGTTTCCCTCGTGTTTCTGCACCTCGCCGCTGTTTTGCAGTCAAACTTCCCATGCTGATGAATGCGCTGCGTGTGATGACTTATTTTTGATGTTGATGAAGCAGATTTAAAAAAATAATAATAATAATTTAAGCATTGGCCAGCACGCTTGAACCGAAGTGTCGCGCCGCATAGCTGTGGCTGGATTTCTCGACGCCTGCTTTTTAATTAGGGCTAAAGAACTGCGCCGCCTCCTCGGTAGCACGCTATATATTGGAAAATTACATCCTTACGCTTTGGAACATCTTTAAAAGAAAACACAGAGTTGGTTGAGGAAGATTTGGTTCACATGGACCAAAGAAAGTCACATCTTCGGCCCTATATGACATAGATGTGAACATTAGACTCATGTGGTGCTGCTTTATTCCTAAAACACAGGCTAAAAACATGCAAGACTCCATAGGAAACAAATCTGTTTTTACAAGTCTCTTGACTCTCTCTTTAGGCCTGAACCAGTCTGCATTACATCCAGCGTTTTAGCAATGACCCCCCTCCCTACCACTCTCTCCACACATCAGCCCCCACCCCCACCCCCTCCCTCAAATCACGCCCTGTCGGGCAGAGTAAACAAGTGGCACTGTGTATATCCTCCATGTAATGTGGATTTAGCTCGGTGAGATGGCGGCTGTTGGAGCAGAGGGCCCCCCCTGGATGCTCAGCTGCATTGTGGGAGGTTCCCTCTCAATGCTACCTTTGTCTGTCCGATTCTGTGTGTGTGTGTGTGTGTGTGTGTGTGTGTGTGTGTGTGTGTGTGTGTGAGAGAGTTGGAGATAGTCCAGTTGACAGCCCACGATAAGTCATGAGTAAACTTCCCCCGTGGTGAGAACCGATCTTGATATACGTGAATGCCTGAAAACACCCTGGGTTAAATGGTTTGAAAATCATTCTGCTGATTGGTCTGACATGCATGCTGTCCTCACACGCACCAACACACACACACTCTGCAAATGTTCTTCCGAGTCAAGTGCAAAGAGGACTTGACCCCTCATTGGTTCACAGACAAACCAATAACATTAGAACAGAGTGGTGATATATGGTGATATATACAGACGTCATGTCAAAAACATGGTACATTTGAATTAAGACTGGAATCTGACTTTTTGCCGTTTATTTTATCATATAAGAAATTATTGTGGGACGTGAAGAAACAAAGTGTGCCCTTATGAAAAGTGACATTATAAAAAGGAAAAAAAGAAAAGTGGCATGAAATGAAAGCTGAACTCTGACTGACTGAACAGTTTGATCCAACTGACAAACCCCATTAAAATAAATGAATACAATAGATGCTGTGTTCCATCATACATCTGGATGTGGTGCCACTCATTTTCTACATGTTAGTTCTTTATGGAGGCAGCAGCTGGGAAGGAATGTGTGTATGTGTGTGTGTAAGCGCAGGGTTTCTTTTTTCTGCCGTTTTTTTTTTTTGCACGTGCTTGTGCGTCTCTGCGTGGGCCCGTTTCATTGCGCGTGCATGCGTCTCCTTCTTCCACTTCCTTGTTGACATGCATTTTCCAGCAGCAGCAGCGTTCAAAACAAACACTCAGTTCGCGCGGACTGGTGAGGTCACCGCCCCTCTTTGTTTGAGTGACAGGTGGTTGGCCCGCATGCTTCTGAAAGGGAGGGGGGGGCGGGGTATTTAGTATTTCTACTAAACTTTTTTGTTTAGTAGAAATACCGCAATTTAGGTACAAGTTACACAAAGTCCTGCGTTCAGAATTTTCAAAGTAAAAGCGCTTAATTGTCAGATAAGAACTTCGTTTGTCATGCAGACGGACTCTATAAAATGTAGATTATTCTATTGTATTTTATCCGAGGTGGAGCCAATAACTACTTCACATACCGTTGAGTTAGAATGCATCATATTTCATAAGCTTTAGCCTATTGCAGTGCAATGTGTGTCTTTGTTGCATCAGGTGCCTAGTTGATGTAAAAATCCGATTTTAATTAGCTAACTTCAGGTGCATGCATTACGTGCCAATGCAACCTCTGCTGTAGTTTGTGTGGATATTATTATATAACATTGTTCTTGGGTTGAGGCTAAGTGTACCTGCCCCAAATCCCCCCTCCCCCTCTCTTTTCTTTTTTTTTTAAAGCGCCAGAGATTTCCAGAGTGTATTCTCCTTTTTATTGCTTTCATTTGCATATAAATTAAATCCATATTGTGCCTGCGAGGCAGACTATGCTAACTATGCAAACGATCCCCGGCTTTTCTTTGTTTTACAGATAAACCCTCCGCTCCCTAAACGACAATGTGGGAGAGAGGGAGGAGAGAGGGGAGAGAAATCCTCTCGCTGTTTCATAATTGTATGAATTTTAAATACATTGTCAGCGGATCCTCTTCAGCGTGCGCAGCGGGGGAATGAGACTGTCATGATAATATTAGGAGCTGTGCGGGTTTATCATGGCAGCCTCTTCACCTCTTCACACACGTGCAGCCCATATGGCCACCGGGCCCTGCGCGTGCGAGTTTTCCCAAACATAATAACAACGCCCTCATTCAATTCCTGTTCACAACACAGTGCATGATACAGTCACTTGAAAGTGTCTTTTTAAAGTGTACTTTAGAGCCACAGAGACCCATTTGATGACGACGCGCAGATCAAATTATATTTTTGTGTCATTGCAGCTGAAATCGAGCCCTATGAATATTCATTCACAAATTTCAGTGACATTAAATTATTCCCAATATTGCTGTTGGCCCCTCCAGGACCCCTCGAGGTTTTCCACTGCTGCACCACCTGCACCAGAGCTGTCTGCGAAATCAACATGAAAAACAAGAATCCCTGAAATATGGCGTTCCAGAACTAGAAATATTTTGTTATAGTTCAATACAATCAAACAGGCGCAGTATTGTCTGCTGACGGTCCACGTGCACCCTGAGATGTATGTCCAAGTAAATAAATAAGGTGTTTTTTAATTTATATGAAAAGATGAGGTGTTAATTAAATGTGAAATAACCAGCCTCTAAACTAACAGCGAGTCCTTGCTGGTCGTTATTAAAATCAATTATTAACACGATATTGCTGTGTTTCTTATTAAATTCCCCGCTCTATGAGCACCAAAACGCAGCACTTGAAATAATTAAAAAGCCCGCAACGCGGAGGCCGTGAACTCCTCCGCTGCAGAGCTCTTAATTAAATAGTCCGACCCGCGATCGGTTGTTTGTGAGCGACGGAACAGGCCCGCGTGCATTAGGGCACAGTGGTGCTTTGAAATTATTTTTTTTAGGAGAACTGTTCAGACGACGTGATGCCACTTCAGACGTGCTCATTGAAGCATTCGCTTTGTCATCAAATAAACCATCAAATCATAGTGAGAGTTCTCCTCTGGCGTATTTATATGTTAGAAACAAATCTTTTTTTACTGTCACGGCAAATAACTCGGCGCACATATTAAAAGCTTTTTCATATGAAGTTTAAGCCTCATGTTATGCTAAATGTCTTCTAAGGAAGGGCTTCTTATTTTTTTCTTTTTTTTTACAATTGGAGACAATAGGATTGAATTCAATGTAAGTAAACTGGATGATGGAAGTAAGTGAGGGCAAATGATAATTATAAATGGGCCCCAAGTAACTGGTTTACATATTATACATATATATATGTATTTTACATCGCTGGATAGTATTTCACACCAGTGAAATTACAATTATGTGAGTTTTTGTTTCTGGTTGTAATGTGCTTTCCCCTTCAACAGCCCCCTAAAATGTAAATTAAATAATAATATAAAATACTCTCATGCTTTTAAAAATAATCAAACAAGAGGAAACAACTTCCCCATCATCATACAATCATAGGCAGAGACCCTCAACTGTGTCTGCTCTCACTGACCTTGAGCACACACACACACACACACACACACACACACACACAGTGAACAGGGTTCACAGCCAGGCTCTATCAAACCTGCGCCTGAGGTCACGTGAGGTCAAACAGGCCACATGTACCCCGTGTTCCTCCCTAAATCAGAGCAGAGAAGCTCACTGACAGCTTTCTTCAGTAAATGCATTCACTCCATTTGAGCTCTGGTAAGACTCCATGCCAGTGAAACTTCACCAGAGATGTTAAACCGCGTTAATACCCGGAATAGATTAATAGGTGAAATGTTATCCATCATGGAGAAACAAGCTGATACAGCTGATTGCTGATTGTATTGAAACAGGAACTGCAGAGTCCTTGTGTGTGTGTGTGTTTGCCCCATCTTCTCAAATATAAAAATTAAATAAAAAGTTTAAATCATCCATATATGTTAGTGAGAAATAATTTAAAAGACTTATTAATTATGGGTTGCTCTTTTAAATTTGCTGCCTGATATATTGTTCATACAAGCAATTTGGGAAGTCCAGTGAGAGCCCTGCTGGTTGTGAGGCTGGAGTGACAAAGTTATTATAATAATAATAATAATAATAATAACAACAATACTATACTACAACTAATAATAATAAAATAACTAATTTAGACTGAACAGTCCTTCATAATTTTCTACTTAAAATTCCAACTACAAAATAATTCCTGAACAATAATAACAATCATAATAATTACATTAATAATCATAATAGGCTGAATAAAAGGTTAAAATATTTTTTTAATCACCAAAACGCTGCTCAACGCTTTTATCTGTGTGAACGAATGAAAGAAGGAAGAGTTTTAGTTCTCTCTCTTTATTTCAGACTACACATGAACATATTAAAATCTTTGGCTTGTTTTGAGTCTGCGGACTGATGTGTGGAAGGAAAACGTGGCGCTACTGTGAGGGACCACAAAACAAAAACCTACAGAGCCAGTTCGACATCCTAACAATGAGAACAGACAGGAAGGACCCGGATGAGAGGTGAAATTAAATATACTGTATACAACATGATAACTGTTTTTGGCTATATAAACTTTAATAACGATCGTTCATTTATATAATTATGTCCATATACTGTCACCATTAACAGAAATCTGTGTTTTTTTTAAATAGCGTCTCCTCCACTTCCAGTTCATTTTTTTCTTTTTTTTTATGTCATTATCTCCAAAAGCCCAAAAGAGTCAGGTGCACGGCGGCCCTCGGCGGGGACACGTCTCTATTCACTATCCTCCTTGTCCTCCTGCACGGTGGTCGTGGAGTGGTTGTACAGTCCCTGGGCCATGAGCTGCAGGGCCAGGCCGTTCTTGTAGCCCGTGGCCTTTTTGATCTTCGCCCGCTTGTTCTGGAACCAGATTTTGATCTGGGACTCGTTCAGGTTCAGTTCCTGGGCCAGGGACTGCCGCCGCTGCTCCGTTATGTACCGGTTGGCCTGGAACTCGGTTTTCAGTCTCTGCAGCTGCTCCGCCGTGAAGGCCGTGCGGGGCCGCTTGTCCTCCTTGGGGCTGCTCTTCTTCTTTTTCAGTTTGCGTGTCCTCGGGCCTGGCGTGGAAACAACAAGGGGAATAAAATATTTATTCTACTGCTGGACCGCGAGCGCGAAGTCACACGCGAGGCGCGCCATGAGCCCCCTCTTAACATCGGCTCGGTGTGATTTAAAAATGTAGGTCACCCCCCCCCCCAAAACGTCATCTGCTTGACTCTTCACGATAAAAATAATTTAATTTGGATCCACTGGCCCGCCTCGTCCCAACACCAGGATTTACTCAGAACCAGCATTCATCACATTCACCACATATAAAGCTATTCAATGTGGAGCATTTCACAACATTTAAAAACTAAATAACAGACCAATAAAAAACAATATCCAGTCATTTATATCTTGTTTTTAATCATTTACACTGAAATATATTGAAACGTATGTGACTAATTCCTCCGCCGCGCAATATAGACCCACAGCGGTCGAGGTCTCGGTGAGGTCGCGAAGCCTTACATCGCGTGATTACGAATTCATATTCAACTAATATTTACTTATTGAATCTGAGTGGGCCCTCCTCGGGTCACGTGCGTGTTCGTGACTCACTCTAATGTGGAAAGGTGATTAATAGAAGACACAAACAATGCTTTCATACAGGCAGTGTCCCCGCCACACATGGGCACATATGCAAATTATCATTAGGTCAGCAATTTCCTTATGATTTTAAGAGTTATGTTTGTCTGTTTCCTCCCAAAATCAACCACAAACTGTCATAACTGCAGCTACAACCGTCTGTATTTGTGTTCATTTTAAATGCGTTAGTGCAGTCAGAGCCGACTGACAGGATGATTGTTACTTTAATGAAATAGCTGCAACATACTTCAAAGAGTGTAAGAAAAGCACGTGATGAACGTAAATAGAACACAATTAAAAGTAACGGGAGGGCCTTTGACCTTCACCGAGCACGAGCCCATCACAAAGTGTAAACAACATGCATGTATATATTCTTCATAATTCAGTTAAAACAACGAAGTAAATATGTCGAACTACAGCGAATTCGGACTTTTTTGTTGTTATTATAATTAATATTTAAGAGCCCTTCTTTTAGCTGTAAATGACTTATGCTTTATGCATCCTCCAATTATGTCTCCAAACACTGAATGCATCCTCTGGACCAACATCAGCTGACAGTCACCCATTCAGGCTTTGCAGGGAATTTAAATGTATTTTCTATATTAGCCAATAACTGTTTTGTAATATTTATTACATTTTTCTAAAATAAAGCACAGTGACTGCAGATATGCTGTCCCTTCTGCATCAGTGCATCAAATGTATTTGATATAATAAAACTTGCACTGCAAATTAAAATAAGCCTCGTCTATGGGATCATTTGTTCGGGTAAAATGTAGTATTATAAACTGGTGAGGTTGTTTTATGGCTTTTTAAAAGTCGTATCAATATAATATGTGCGTAATATTACCGTAAATGACGGTGATACGCTGCAATACCTCAGGCTTATAGGTCTACCGCAATATTACACAGCTACGGTATTAGACCCATAATGCTTTTCGTCAAACTCGCATTTAAATACGCAGACAGGAGAGTAGCCTATTGCTACTTTAGCTCTGATATAATCCATAATTAATAATATATTTACAGATTCGCACCACATGGAGGCCTTATATTGTGTTACTTACAACTTGTATGCATAGTGGAATGACATTGCGCAGTGAATTGCACTGGAAATTATTCCGACTTTTGCACATTAATGAATATCCTGCAACACATATGAGACACTTTATCCCATAATGCGCTTTTTATTTATTTGTGTGTGTGTGTGTGTGTGTGTGTGTGTGTGTGTGTGTGTGTGTGT